GTTTCAAAACCCCACCATTTCAGCACCTTAACCCAAACTAACCAAGCTTCCCTACAAGTACAAAATAAATGATCTACATCCTCCAGCCCCTCATGACACAAACCACAAAGCAATCCCTCTTGCTGCAACGTCACACCCCTTTTTTGTAAATTCCATTTTGTTGGCAGCCGGTCAAGGAATAACCTCCACCCAAAAAAACTAACTTTCAAAGGCACTAACCTACACCAAATAAGCCTACAGTATTGGGTATCCAGATGACGCTCCTCAGGAGATAAAAATTCATAAGCTGTCTTAACCAAATATTTTCCCCCTGGGTCATGAATCCAAGACCAAATGTCTTCCTGACCTTTCTTTAAATGAACGCAATCCACTACCCCCCACAAAGCCTCTTCCTCGTCCTTTTCTCGCCCCATTCTCCCCCTTCTCCAAACCAGATTCCACTGCCACCTATCTCCTACCCATTCCCCCATGTCACCCACCAAACCTTCCTTATTCGCAGCCAAGGCAAATAGTCTGGGACATAAATCCCTTAAAGAATTGTCACCCGCCCACTTCTCCCTCCAAAAACCCACCCTACTTCCACACCCTACCTCCCATCTAAACCCATTCCCTAACATATTCCTCAGCCTAACTGATCTCCCCCCGATGCTAATGATATCCTTCCATACCTTCGACACTCTTAAATTAGAAATTGCTGTTATATCCACCTCACACCGACCCTCATAGTATTTCTCCCTCACTACCCGCTTCCATAAACTCCCCACACCATCACCAAACCGAAACCACCACTTACCTAATAATGCCCAATTTTTCCTACGCAAATCCGACACCCCTAAACCTCCCTGCGCCTTGTTGCCACAAACCACATCCCATTTAACCCATGGAATTTTCCTACTCAATCCAGCCCCCCCCCCACAGAAACCTCCTTTGGATTTTAACCAATTCAGCAACCACAGAGCAAGGAATTAAAAATAGAGACATGTAAAAAATGGGTAAAGCAGAGAGTACCGTATTGAGCAAAGTGATGCGGCCGCCAAAAGACAACGAAACAGACTTCCAGACGGCAAGTTTGGCACGAAACTTATTTACCACTAGTTCCCACATTTTTTTACTTCCAAATTTACCACCAATAGGTAGACCCAAATACAAGAAAGGTGTTTTTCCAACCCCACACCGTAAGGAACAAGCCATCCCATTCAGCCACCTTGTCGATACATTAAAGCCGTAAACACTGCTTTTACTGAAATTAATCCGCAACCCGGACATCAACTCAAACCATCGTAGCACTGCTTTAACCATGAAAACATTCTCCCCATCAGCTTTACCCAAAATCACGGTATCGTCAGCAAACTCGAGCAAGGATACAACCAGGCCCTTCTTCCCAACTTCAACACCCCTAAACAACCCCTCCTCCTCTGATTTGCGAATTAATCCATGTAACCCCTCCCCCACCATCAAAAACAGAAAAGGAGACAAAGGGTCACCCTGCCTTAACCCTTTTCCAATCTCGAACTCCTCAGTCGGACTGCCATTAACTAATACGGAAACCTTTGCAGTTGATAAGCACTCCATAATCCATCCTCTCCACCTAACCCCAAAACCAAACCTCTCCATCATCCAATCCAAAAAAGCCCAATCAACACAATCGTATGCTTTCGCAAAATCAGCTTTGAAAACAAAAGCCTTTTGTTTGCTCTTCTTAATTTCATCCACAACTTCATTTAAAGCTAACACGCTATCTGCCAATTGACGACCCCCCAAAAAAGCAGACTGAGTTTCACTAATAATCTCCGACAACACAGCCTTGAGTCTATTAGCTAGCACCTTTGCCAACAACTTATACACACACCTAATTAGATTAATAGGACGATAATCCTTCAACTCTATAGGATTATTCTTCTTAGGGATCAGAGTCAAAAAGGAAGAGTTGAGACCTCTTACTAACCTGCCATTGCTATGAAATTCATTGAAGAAGCTCACAAAGTCCTCCTTTAAAATGCTCCAGGCGAATTTGATGAAGTTGAAGTTATAACCATCCGGACCGGGTGCTTTAGTCCCTTCACAACCTCTTAACCCTTCTTCAATCTCTTCCGTTGAAAATGGTCTTTCCAACCACTCTTTCTTCTACACAGAAATTTGCTGGAAACTTACCCCAGCAGGCTTAGGTCTGTTCCATAAATCACCTTGAAACAAAGCAGAAAAATATTTGGCTACCTCCCGCTTAACCAAAGTAGGCTCCTCCACCCATCTACCATCGCACGAGATCCCTAGTATATTGTTCTGAGCCCTCCTGCCATTGGCAATCTTGTGAAAGAATCTGGTGTTTGCATCTCCCATCCGCACCCAATTACATCTCGATTTTTGCCTCCATATAGCTTCCTTTTTGCGCAAAATATCCCATATTTCTTGAACTCCGTCGTGTCGTTGGCTCACCTCAAACTCTTCTAGGTCAAAATCTTCATTCCTTCTGTCAATCTTTTCGACCAATACTGTTGCCATTTCAAATTGAGCCTCCATATCCCCGAACACATCCCTATTCCATCCCTTTAAAAATTCCTTCAACATCTTTAACTTCTGTTTACATCGATAGCCTGCATATCCTTCAACCTCCATCCCTCGCCACTTGCCTTCCACTGCATTTTTAAAATCTGGATGCTGCTGCCAAGCATCTAATACTCTAAATGGCCTTGGACCCCAATCCGCAATTCTTGTTTTCAAGATAACAGCACAGTGGTCAGATATAGTCCGTTTCATCCCCTGTTGCACCCACTCGCACCCCAAACTATACATCTCCTCAGTCATCAGAAATCTATCCAACCGACTCATAGAAGACCCATCCGGTCGGTACCATGTAAAACGTCTATTTGCTAATCTGATATCAACCAATTTTGTTGACTCGATAAACACATTAAATTCCTCCATCTCTGGACATACTCCAGTTCTACCTCTCCTTTCTTTGGGACATCTGATAGCATTAAAATCACCTGCGATCATCCAACACCCTCCCTTTTCCATAACCATCGTACCCAACTCCTCCCATAACCTCGCCTTTGTACACTTATCCTGGGAAGCATACACATTCACAAAATAACATAGCACCTTTCCCGCACCCCAAATCCCTTCAATCCCCAGAAACCCATCTCCAACAAACTCCCCTAGCTTAACAAAATTAACAGTATTCCAAACACAAATTAAACCCCCTGAAGCACCGATTGATTCCTTCATAACCCAGTCACATTCATCTGAATACCACAACCCCCTACACCGATTGATTTTATTGAGTTTTTTTAATAGTAAATTATTAAGGTTAATATCTTCAAAGATTTAAAGTGAGACTGAATGCCATCACTTACATGTTCTATTTCCCCACTATTAAAAATCTTTTTGTGGTTAGAAAAAAAAAAAGAATATTTTTTAATTCAATATATTTTACAATATATTTATTAAAAAAATATTATTGTTAAATTTAAATTTTAAATAAAAAAATTTTATTTATAAAATTTAATAACTAAATTAATAAATGTTGATAAGTATATTAAATGAAAAAATATATTAATTATTAAAAAAAAAAAAAAACTATTCGTATGTGTGAGTTGTTTAAATTTTTTGTTATGAGTGAAATATACCTGTTTACCCATCATTTTTTTTTAAACTATTAGATTCTACCCTCTAAATCTAACTGTGGTTCTGCCACCGCCGACGGAACCCATTCCATCCTAAACGAAAGAAAGAAATAAACTTCACTAATTTTTCAATGTAGGTATGAGCTAAATTATTATTATTATTATTATTACAGTATTTTTTTACAAGAAAAGCAAATATCATCCTCAAACGGCGTCCCATGGCCTCTACCAAATCCTCCATCCAGCCGGCATCCCATAATTGCAACCCTTTGCAGCCGCCTGTCGCCGTCCCAACATCCACCAACACTAGAGCTTGGCCTTCCAACGCCGACAGACGCAACCGATTCTCCATGGGCTGCATCAAGTCTTCCACCCCATCTTGTCGCACTACTTTCCTCTCAGCCCCCATCCAAACCCAAACACGAAGTAAGGAAAAAGAGCCAAAAACAGAAGGCAAAGGAAAATAAATTCCTACGGAGAGAAAATGCGAAAGAAATACCTCGGGTGGAGACCCATGCTCAAAAGCACAATAGGAGAGAAATGGCAAAACCGAAATCAAGTCTTTAATAGGGCCATCATGCAACTAGTTTAATAGTAATTTCGTTTTTAGGAAGAGTTTCAATTGATACATAAGAGTTATTTTTAATTAAAATTTCAAAAAATAATGATAATTAATACATATTTTAACTTAATACATTTATTAATTATCTATTAAATTTTATAAGTAAAATTTTTTATTTTAAATTTAAATTTAAAAATAATAATTTTTTATCAAATATATTTTAAAATATATTAAATTAAAAAATATATATATCAATTATTGTCCTTATAAATATTTATTTGGATGAGGGAAAATCCTTCGTACCTCGGGGCAGGTAGGTGGACCTCACCCAATTTCATTGGCCTGCATAACAATTCAAGTCCTGCGTAAGTCTTTATAACATATTGATTTAGTCCTGGCACTAGTATTTAATTTGTCAATTTACCACTGCCGAAAGTATGTATCCCAATTAAAGTTGTCTATGTGTGTGTACCCTCAACTAGTGTCCCGATTTTGCTTCACGGATTCCTCTACTCTTTAATTGCCTAGGCCATGCACTTCCGGCAGAAGCAATGCCATTGGTTATCAATTTGCTTCAGAACATTTGCAGATGCCATTTAAATTCAAAAGCTTTAATGCTTCTGAACATTTCTAGGCTGACTTATTCAGATTCGTGTAAAGGTGCAAATAATGATTCTAACTTTGCATTTTTTTTCATTTAAGGATGTTAACTTTGTCAATTTCTAAAGATGTCAACTTTCAATTTTTTTTAAATAGGGATATCAACTTTCAATTTTTTCTAAATAAGAATGTCAACTTTCAACTTTTTCTATTTAAAGATTAATTGAATAGTGATGCTGATGTTACTAACATATATTTTTAGGTTAAATATCTGAATTGGTCCCTCAACTTTTATTTTTGAACCAATTCATCCTTAAACTTCAGAAAGTACCGAAAACGTCCTTCAACTTCAATTTTCAATTTCGTCTTTCTGTCAGTTAAATATTGATACAGCTAATTTTTTCACTAAGTGATTGACTATTTTACATTTTCAATATTAGGTGGAAAATCCATCATGTAAAAGATGATTATGTGGATTTTTTTAATTTTAAATAATTTACAAATTACTTTAATTCTTAATTTTACTTTATTTATATTTAAAAATTAAAACAATTAATATATTTTCCCATTTAATTAGTCCCACCTACCATTTAATAAAATTA